GCGCCTCAAACCACGCGGCCACAGCGCGGAGTCTACCGGTTATGGGGAACTGACTTGGTCATATTCTCCGCAAATGAAAAATTAAACCAAAAAAAAAAAAAAAGTCAGCCGCGCGGCGCCAGTGGGATTGGAACCCATGATGTCGGGACCCCATTCCGACGCCTCAGCACACTCGGCTAGTGTTGTACACAGCCTGGTGCTATCGTAACCCGAACTGGTTTGGACAAAAAAAAAAAAAAATCTATGGCGCGGCCGGGACTTGATCCAACGGCCAGCGGCTTGTCACTTCACGAGGTCTGAGCCAACTTCACGTGGGTTTCACGTGAATTTTATACACATTTAGACCATTATGTGGAAATTCATGTATTTTTGCGTGAATTTCACAAAACAAAGTTTGCTTGTACAAGTACTCCCCCCCCCTCCTCACCCTTTCTGGAGCGCTTTACAGGGCGCAGGGTAGGAGGGGGAAGCGCCTGGTAAACCATTCGAGACAGGGTGAGGGTGATGGGGGGGGGGACTTAAAGGATGCAGGATGCAGGTTGTATGGGACTGGACAGACCCCGAGGCCCGCAGAGGAAACCGAACCGCCCGGGCCTTATCGGAATTCAGGCGGACCCCAGAATGGTGTGCCCTGGAGTCTGGGGCATCTCGCAAGTGGCCAGTGAGAGGCGACATAGCGAACAGTACAGAATATTAAAAATTGCAGTATGCAAAAATTCGTTCGTTTGGGGTATTGCAACGACCTACAGCAAGGAGCGCCCCCAGGAAAAAGTTTGCCTGCTCCAAGCATAAATTGATTCGTAGATCGGCCACCGGACCAATGCGTACGGGCTCTAGTAACCTAGGCGAGATCCAAGCATACACCTATGCTTGAAACTGTCATCAGGAGGGAAACGCTCGTTATTTCTCGCCCGACTGGGCCGACAGAGGGCGCCGTTTACGGCACACGTCTTGGTAGCTCAGTGGTCTCCGTGCCTGGCGGCTAGATGGTAGGCCGGGACCGGCTCGGGTTCGAATCCCGGCCGGTGCGCAACCAGTTTCCTCCTAGCGGCACCTCTGTATTCGATCAGGGGCCCGGGGGGATGGATTGAGTTTCTGGAAACTCGGCAAAGGGAGAAAGTCTGAGTTACCATTTTACGGTGTGTCTATTTAGAATGCGAGATATGAGCATCGGCAACGTTTGGATCAAGTTAACAGAAGGAGAGGACGATGTATAAATGCTTAGATTGACTGTAATATGCTTGCCGGAAAAAGAACCATAACCTATGCGGGATTCAAGCATCAGAGGCTCGATCCTGGCAAACATTTCTACTGCACAGCACAACAACTTCATTTGTTGTTGTTTTTTCTGGGGGGAGGGGGATTTTGGAAAATTTAAATCAACAATTCTAACCGGTACAAGGTGTTGATGAGGCCCTCCAGCTTCCGGCTGCAAGTTCTTCATCACGTTGATCACCCATCACAGTCACACGCGTCGCACTGGCACACACTCGACTTCGCTGTCGTCCGCCGCGTTCCGCTGCCGCCTAGCACCACCTAGCACTGGCCACCGGCCGGCGCCTGCCTGCCGGCTCGGACGCTTGGGCTCGCTCGGCTCGCTCGGGTTCGCACCTGGAGAGCGATTGGAGAGCTCACGGTGAGCTCACTTGAAGAACGTTCTCAGAACGTTTCCACCACCCCCCTCACCCTGTTTTGAGCGGTTTAGAAGGCGCTCTAGAAGGCGCTTCCGGTGAGCTCACCGTGAGCTCTCCAATCGCTCTCCAGTTCGCACGGGAGTGCGTTCGCAGTCGGAGTCGCTCACTCGCTCGCTCGCTCGCTCACTCACTCACTCACTCACTCACTCACTCACTCACTCACTCACTCTCACTCACTCATAAAACACATGCTTCAACGGAGGCTGTAGGCTTCTCGTCCCCTCCACTCACCCTCACCCACCGGAGAACAAGAAAAGATGCTATGGTACACCTGTGTATTTCCCGCTATAGGGAGCCCGCAATTATTAGGACCCACTTTGGCCTCTGGTGCTCTCAGTGGGGTTTTGTGGTCCTCCCGGGGTCGGCGGCCCTCCGGAACGCTCTTGTTCGTTGCGGCCCCAGTCCGCCGTAAGAAAGAACGGACGTCACCGTCCAGGCCGAGCTTGTCCCCGATTCAACGACTGGTGTTCCTCGGGTCACAGGTGGCTGACCATCAAATGCCTATATCGCCCTTGACCCGCGACCAATCACTCCCTATGTCCATGTCCCCCCGACAGCCCCAAGGAGGCCCCGGCGCTCAGCTCAGCCTCACAGCGCACCTCACTGTCAGCGCCGACCCACTGGCAGGCAGGCTGAATTTTTTGGACAAAATTTAGAGGTCACGCGAGATCCTCAAAATTAACCCAGCATTCTTACGGGTATTTTTCCTAAAACTGAAATTTAGCCATGGACACCAAAGTTTATATCCGAGAGCAAAAGTGAGTCCATAGCCGTAGTCTACGTAAAAAAACTGAGTGAGGAGACGTGCCGTGCCGTGCACACAGGGGTGAGTGTGCGCCAGACCTCGTGCCTCACGGCCCGCGCTAGGCCGCGGGGGCCCTCATGTCACGTGTCATCAGCCGCCCTGAGTGACACTGTCCTCCCTCCCGCAGGTGACGCGGCTGGTGGATGTGTTCTGCAACTATGACCCCGCCTGGAGCCTCAAGCTGCTGCAGCGCGCCGCGTCCTCCGTGGAGCAGCTACGTAGGTGGTACACCCCCGCCAGGCGCACCTGCGTGCTGTGCACTTCTTGCCGCGGCTGAGGAGGCTGGAGGTGAGAAGTTTAGATATGGATGGTGCCCTCGACGCCGATCCCCCCGTGCTGCCCGCGCTCCCGCCGGGACACGCCGGCCTGCTGTGGCTCAGAGTGTGGGGGCACCTCCCCAACACCACGCTGCAGTCCCTGCTGAGGGCGCACGGCCAATCGCTGGATAAGCTTCAGCTGAACGTGGACACGGCGGTCTCCGGCGGCCTGCATTCGCCGCTGGGCCCGTGCGGCCTGCAGGCGCTGCGGAGGCTAGTGCTTTGTAGGGATAACGTCGCTCACACCGTAGACCAGTGCTACCGGCAGCTCGCCGAGGTTCGGCGGGTGCTTTTCCCGGCGGCCGAGGTGCTGTGCGACTCGTGCAACGGTGTGGTGCCGGAAGACGACTAGGAGTGGCGAGCGTCGGGCCGTCGGGCGTCCCCCCGGCCACCCTCCGGCAGAGAGGACCACGACGAGCAGCAGGGCCGCTGAGGCGTGGCGCGGAGCGTGTCCGGGACCAAGAGGACACACCGCGCGACTTGGCTGCCGCGCGGAGCAAAGCGAAACAATGATGTGTTTCTGTTACTAAAAGAAAGACGATTCAGAGAGATGTATACCACTCCAAATAGATCTTAAATAAATTACCTTCTTGCAGTATACCTCGGGCATTATTTCTATCTCCTACAAAGCATTTCCGAGTAAGCCCGGCTCCAAAGATTGTCAACAAAAATCATTTAAAAACAAAATTACATGCAATTTGAAAAAACTTTATAAAATTGACGCAAATACAGTCCTAGATACATGATAGACATACATGAAAGTTTTAATAACCTTTATGCCTACTGAGTACCATTGCAATCCACCCAACGTTCACACCAACTTCTCAGAGACGACTCCTTGAATCAAAATCTTTTTAAGAGCAATTATTGAATTGGGACAACTTATTCGGTGGCCAGCGGACGCCATGGGCAGTGTCTGCTTGATGCCTTTAATTTCATATCCGACGGTATGCTCGGACGGAGAGGATGTTTGATCTTCGGGATGACGCGCACCGGCAGCCTGCAATAATGACGCAAATAAAGCACTCAAGTCGCAAACACTCTCGAAAATTCGCGCCGAACTCTCAAAATATTGTGCCTAGCTCGCAAGTAACTCGCGCCAACTCGTCAACTCGTTGTATACACTTATTCTGGGAGTCGGGGACCCCTCGATACAAAGTGGGCTATACGGACTTGAGCCCGCCCAGAGTTGAGCCCGGACCACTGTAGGCCCGACCACTGCCCGATATGAGCGTAGATCCGAGACTGACTCGTCATCTTTGGTCCTGGCTACGTCCAGCTAGGCTCATATCAGACACTGCTTGGGCCTACAGTGGTCCGGGCTCAACTCCGGGCCGGCTCATGTCCGTATAGCCACAAAGTTGTGATCGTACCTTTTGGCGGCGACGTGGAAGTCGGGCCAGTCGCACTCCTGGCAGTGCGAGGCGCTGCTGACGGACGTCCCGTAGCCCACAAGGGACATGCTGACATCGTCAGCGTAGGCCTTCAGGGTGGAGAAGTTGATGGCAGGCGAACCGCGCGCCGTGACGGGCAGCAGCTGGGCGGCCCACGTCGCGTAGGGGCTGAGGAAGGCATCGCCCCGCTGGAACTTGAGGTAGTCCTCGCTGGCGAACTCGGGCTCGCCGTTGGCGTGCACGCTGAAGGACGCCAGGAGCGTCACCAGGCGGTGGGGGAAGGTCACCACGTCCGAGCCGCACTTGAAGTACGAGTTCCCCATATGGGTCAGGTGCAGCCTAAAGCCCTGTTCAAAAAAAAATAAAAAAAAATTATGTACTGTACACACATCACAGCTTTAACTCAGTAGCAAGAAGAAGTAGTATATTTTTCCGCTAGTTTTGTTATTTTTTACTGGCTACCACTGACGGTCAAACATGTTTTACATAAAATCTTTGCGTTCGCGCTTTATTATAACAGACACGCTGAAAACTAAGTGTCGTTCGACCCCTACAGTAGGTGTAGGACAAGTTGTGTTCGTGGCTTCCACAGCGCAAGTTTTTCTGTGACAGTTAAAAAGTTAGCCAGTGTCTGTGGCCAGCTAACAGTTAGCTACGGAAAGTTAAGAGGTGGTTGTTTTCATGTACACCATTGCTTGCACTACTTTGGTGCAAAAGTACCATCAGTTACATGTTACATTACCTGCTCGAGGGCTTTGTGCAGCTCCTGGTGCTTGGAGTAGTTCCCGTGCCAGAATTTGAGGCTCACGGCGTTGAACTTGACGGCGAAGGTGTCCTCGAGACTGGTGGCGACGTCCGCGTTGAGCAGCACGCGTTTGCCGGCCAGCAGGTCCCTTATCTGTGAACCGTATTCGGCGTTGGTCCAGGTGGTGAAGGACGTGTCCCGGTTGTGGGCCACGTCGAACGTGGCGCAGCTCAGTCCGGCCCCGCTCCTCGAACTCGTCGACGAGTCCTGCTTGATGGCGGCGCGAAGGCGCGTGAAGTCGTCGGACGCACACCGCACCAACTCTTCAAGCGTGCGCCCAGCCTCGCAAGACTCGGCCAAGCTCTCGCTGATGACAGAGCAGAATGGGTAGGCGTACAGCTGCATGCCTACAGAAGGGAGACGGTTAACGGTAAGTGCGGGATTTATTCAAGAATTTCGGGTTGCCAACGAGATTTGGTGTTGGGGTCCAGTCAACGGGCGAAAAGACATACCAAGTGGCTGATTAGCTGAGACCGGGTGTCTTTCCTCACGCACTTCTGCAGTTACGGTGTTTACTGCAAAATTCCCGTCTAATTAGCCACTTGGTTTGTCTTTTCGCCTGAACAGTGTAACTACAGAAGTGCGTGAGGATAGACACCAGGTCGTTTTTAAAAGCCCAGACACCACACAGTTAAAGTCTTACGATGCAAAATGCCAAATGCTTCGTACCTACGAAGGGTTTGCTCCCTACGAAGCGTCCGAATCCTTCGTATTACAAAGGATTTTGTATTTTTCTTCGTAAGACTTTAACAGTGCAAACCCTTATGCATTATGTTGCCGAGTGTTATTAGCCCATCCAATGAGTTTTAGGTTTTGACCAGGGAAAAATAGTATTGAGATGCAAATTTGAGCACGTGTCCCTTAAAGCAGCCATAAGTGGTCGTCCAGGGAGAATATCGATTTTTCTTAGATTAATTCTGCTAATAGCTGGAGCCAAGCGCCTGCGAGACACGGAGAAGGCCACCCCACAGTACACGCTTGCACTGCAGGCAAGATTTTGCCTACCCATCAGGCGCCATGAGAGCTTGCGTTCGCTGAACATGGCAGGTTCATAACGACGAACGACGGACGTACTTCCTGGATGATCCCTTCGGCATGCACAAGTGTATGCATAATTAAGTACAAATTGTGCATAGCGGTTTAGTGTGCGCTTGATACATTTTTCAAAACATAATAGTTGGCTGAAAAATCGTATAGTTTTGAATTTTAGTACGTAAATTTCTGGCTTATGATGTATAGTCTCACTGTAAGCCGGTTGGCGTCTTCTAACGCCAAAATATTGGCGTCCTCTATGAACGCCAAATGTTGGCGTTCTGGGAAGAAGGACGCCAATAATTTTGCCTACAGAGACGCAAACCAGTTTACAGTGCTGAGGTTTTTGATATTGTTTGGTCTTGGGTACCCTTAAAATAAACTACAATTGACTCCAACTGACCTCGCCTGACCGTCCTGTGGTTACTCAGCACCATGTTCTTGTACACCGTCGTCCGTGCAGGGACAATGTAGGGGCTGATCTCTGGTGAGTCCCCAGTCGACGGCAGCGGGGGCGTAAGTTGACTGATGATATTTATCTGACCGATGTAGTACTCCGACTTATCCATGGCTCCGATCACGTTCTGACAGATGTCTGAGAGGATGGAGGCCAAATAGCTGCCGGACTGGGCCGCCTCGAAGTGCTCCGGGGTCATGATGACCAATTTGGACCTGAAGTCGAGCATCGCAGGGCTCACCAGCCACGCTCTCAAACCCAAACCGCCGCTAGAGCCGGCTTTGCGCATAGACTTCAAGAGTTCTTCGGTGCTCGTAAGGAGCTCCAAGATGATGCCGTAATCTTCTCCTAGTTTCATTTGCTTGGAAATCTCTTCCTTGAGTTCACTGATCATGCTATCTAGGTCGTTTCCCCACTCGTCCCCACCTACAGCAATAGATCCACCAACTACCCCCACGACCGCACCAGCAGGTGGGAAAGCAACAGCCAAGAGTCCACCGAGCAATCCAACCACTTTACCAAAGATACTGAAGAATCGGGCCGCGTTCTTCTTCTTCTCGAGGTCTTTCAGCTTCTGTTTGTCTTTTTCAACGTTGTCAGTGGCCATTTTGATCCTGTCGATTGTTTCATTCGCTACCTTCTCCAAAGATGTAAACTCATTATCAATGGCAGGAAGCAAGACGTTGTTAATTGTATCAATTGTGGAATTAAGCTTCTCGCCTAGCTCCACAATAATGTTCTGACCCCGGTCGTACATGATTTTCTTCATTTCCGTATCTTGCTGTTTGGTGGCCACGCTGACGGCATCTATTGAGCCGGACAGGTACTCGTCTAAATCTGTGACCAGGCTCAGACCGCTGATGTTGGCGGGCCGTGGTAGTGTAACGACGGCGATGGTTTGCCACTTGGCGAGCCTCTGTTCCACGTCGCTCTGCGCTAATTCGCCTGCAATGGCCACTTGCCTTTCCAGAACAGGGTAATCCGGATTATACAAGGTTTTTTGCGAATAGAGTGTTGAGTTCACTTCCTTAATAATATCCATATATCCTGAAAAATTGAAATGAAAATTAATTCAGACGAAAGGAAAGCATTTGCATCAATATCGCGACAAACACAACCTTCAGTACAACACAGTGTTTAATTTTGCTCGTCAATTCGTGTATAAGTTCAAGTTTGCGAAGTTCGGCACATGCTGCTCTCGGTCGTACGACTGTCGCTCAACAGTTGAAATTTAGATACGGACTATTAAATTGATCATAAATCCACGATGTATTCTAATGGGGTAAATAATGTTGTTCGATAATTTCTTACACTATAGTTTTACTTGGAGCTATTTCCTATGACTTTTAAGAGCTACATATTTTACCATTCCCATGCTTGACACGCGACGCGCTTCCGCAAGCGTGCGGGGCACGCTCGAGGGAGCGCAGTCTAGAACGATTCACGGGCAGCAGGCGGGGGTCGGCAGGCCGACTGTACCGTATGAGGTGTCCTGCTCAGTCCAGTGAGTCAGTCAGTCGACCCCCTATCCACTTCGCCTGACCCGCGGTCCGAGGAGCGCCCTAGAGCGCGCTCCAACTAGCATACCTCGCACGCTTCGCTTGTGAAACGGGAGAGGCGACGGTGCATCGAGCGCGGGCTTTATTAAATATAGCTTAATAAAAGTGGACACAGTGTATAATACACACTACACACTTCATTAGAAAGTGATGCACCCTGGTAGCCTGGCCACCTCTCTTCGCCTCCCCAGTACACAGTACACTGTAAATGCGCTTAAATGCGCATAAAATTCGGCCTCGCGCATTAATGAACATTATAGGTCCCACATTTTTAGCGCATTTAATACGCATTTTGCGCAGAAAATTCTCATTTCACGCACTCAACATGCAAAATATGTGGAACCTAAAATGAAATGCTTCATTGGTGCGCTCTGTAAAAAATCAGTCTTGGATACGGAGCCTGTCACGGCGTTCCATTTCTCACTTTTGGGAGTGATTTTCGAAAGCGGTTCGGAGATTTACCGTACCTGGCCACCGTACCAACGATTATTACATAGGCTAGCATAGGGAAGGAGGCAAGTTACGGCACGCCGTAACAGACTCCGTACTCAAAACGAAGACTTCCGGATCAAAATTAACAGGACTTTTTCTGTACCGTTCCGTACACTGGCTCCGTACCCACGCATTTTTTACATGGGCTCTTATGGGAAGAGGGTGCGAAACCCAAGGTACGGAGACGCCGTAGGTTAAATAAACGGCATATTTACGTATGGGCGACCGTGATTATTTTTTACAGTGCGCTTTAAAAGTTTGGTGATACTTGGTATAGGGTATTTCAGAGCTGGACGTGAAGAAGTAAAATGGAAGAACAAACGCAGATGCAGAGTGGGGGAAGCAGGGGATGGAGTGGGGGGCGTCTGCGCGTGCGCAGTGCCCGTTTTGTTCTTCCATTTTACTTCTTCACGTTCAGCTCTGAAATAGCCTATAGTCTCTATAACCTGATTAAGCCTTTAGCCGCAAAACTTACTCATGAAGTTCACAGGCGTGTCTGGGGCCAGCTCGGAAGAGACAGTTAACTGTCGATGAACGTCGTAAAGTCTCAAAGAGGCCATGGAGGCTTTCTTCTTTCCAACATTCCACACATCCATAACGGAGTAGGGCAAACCTGGAAGCAGCAGGTGAGGAGGTTAGTCCATTTTCAAAGTGTTATCATGGCAAGCAGATCACCAAAAATAGAGAATACACTAAATGTACCCTACTGTCTACACTGTTACGTCAAGAGTGAGACACACACAACCCAATATTCCGTTGGCCATAGACAACTAAACCCATGACAACATTGCTTAAAGTAGAACACTCATAGTACCTCACATTAGGCGAAGCGTTGGGTTCTTGCGCGTGACTCACATGACCTAATGTGAGACACTGAGTGTTTTAATTTCACTAAAGAGGGGCACTGGTGTTCTACTTTAGATAGCGTGAGGCATTGTGCCTCACATAAGCTAAAGTATAACAGTTTCACGCCTGATTTAACAGTGTACATTAAGGAAAGTACGTTCTCAAATAAAGAAAAAACGCTCTACTTTAGTCATTGGAATGGTTTTCAGTCATGTCTACTTTATTTAATGTAGACATACCATGTAGAAACTTAAAACCTATAACCCCAGAGTTCGTAGCGTTTTTCCTTCGTAAGGGAAAGCCATGCCGGTGCCTGTCACCTCTCCTTCTGTTGTGTGATCGCGTTTACTTACTTTCTTCACATTTCGGAGGTGCATATCCAGGCTCGCATCCATCATCACAATATCCAGAGCGCTTGCTGCACTTTCCGTTTTTACAGTGCCCGCAGCGTCGGTCACAGTAATCTCCATAAAACCCTCTACTGCAAGCTATGGGGAAAACAAGACGTGATAAAGAGTAAAGAGTTGCTCGGAGTTGTCCTTTGCAGCTTGCAGCTGATCTGCTACCAGTAGTTTAGGCTTCCCAGTCGAAAAAAAAACAAAAAAAAACAAACAAACAAACAAACAAACAAACAAACAAACAAACAAACAAACAAACAAACATGGGGGCATGGGATCTCATGGTCAAATTATCAATAATACGGACAGTTTCATCCGTATTATACGGATGATTTGTGATCCATAGCGCGTTTGCAGAAAATTCTCCGTAAGCGAGTCCGTAAGGAGATGGGAGTGTATATCTTTCGTATAAGAAAAAAATCTAGTTCCAAAGACAATATTGACTTCTTTGCGGTTCAGCATACTCTTGCAACAAGAATTAATTTTGCTGGTTGCAGGATTGTAACAGTGTGTATACACCCAGGAAAGCGGGTTCTTGACACTTGATTTCGCAAGAGCATTTGTATATGGGACATGAAATTTTAATTTGCACTTGCACCCATGCAAATTGCATTGTGAGAAGCCAGTGTCGTGTCCTGCCTATAGATGACGCCAGTGTGCACCCTGTCCATAATGGTGGATTTAGTCCGTGAGGCGAGGGGTGTATCCAGCGACCTACAACTTACAACCTAACCGAGGTCCCTGATGATTGGTCAATTTGAGTCAATTCGCCCATAACAAATGACTCGCGGGGCGAATTGGCCAATCAGGGACCTCCATTAGGTTGTAGGTTGTATGTCGCTGCGGATACAACCGAGTCGCCTCACGGTGAGGTGCCCTAATATACCATTTCAGGGTTAGGTGATTAGAAGAAGAAAAGAATAACAAACCGGAAAAGCACTGCCTTCTGATCGCCCCCCACCCCCACCCTCCGTCCCTCTTCACCCCTCGCCCAACTGTTTCCTATTTCGGTTATTCTTTTCTTCTTCTTGTCACCGCGACTGAAATGGTCTATAGGGTATTTCAGAGCTGGAGGTGAAGAAGTAAAATGGAAGAACAAAACGCGCACTGCTCATGCGCAGACGCGGAGTGGGGGAAGAAGGGGATGGAGTGGGGGGCGTCTGCGCATGAGCAGTGCGCGTTTTGTTCTTCCATTTTACTTCTTCACGTCCAGCTCTGAAATACCCTATTGAGGCAGCTCGCCTCAGAGGTTTTGAGGGCTGTGATTGGCTGAAAACCTCTGAGGCAGCTGCCTCAATGAGGACGCCTCACCGTGAGGCGACTCGCCTCACGAGACTAAATCGACCATAATTGAGTGGCCTACTTCTGGTCTGTGACTAAAGTTTAGTCATGGTGTAGACAAGTAAATGGACGGTTCGTTCCTTTATAAAGGATCCCCAGGTATACCCTGAGCTATCAAATCTGATTACATCTGGGGAAGAGAGAGAATTCTACAGCATGTTTCCTCGATTTAGCCGAGTACTTTTACTTCATTGAAGACCCCGCTTTTATGGGTGTACTGTTAAATTCCTGCAAAGCAACGCTTTTGCAGAACTGCAAAGTATATGTGCTATTCACTTAAGCTCCGATATGGGAAAGCGTATGGGAGAGCATAAGCAAGAGTCTTTTTTTTTTTTTTTTTTAGCTTTCTCATCGTTGACGATACCTCAAAGAGAAGTGACATCGAAACGATATCGTATCGGTATCGACAAGAAAAATTCATTCGTCACTGTAAGACCTCTACAGATCTACATTAAAATGTATGGGTTTGTTGTTTTTAAGGACAGACCAATCCGTACGATCTTTCAAATGATTCATTGATTATACAATTTTTAAGTGAAAGCTTTGCAGGTACTCACGAGGGCAGTCAAAATAGCTGCTGCAGGGCAGGCACGATGGAAAACATCCTGGAATGTTTCGACACATTTTATCATTAGTCATACGCTAAAATTCCTTTGCATGTAACTGACTTTTATTTATAAGTTACTTATGCGTTAATTCAAGTTCTAACCAAATTTTACAGAATGGCCAAGGAGAAATGCTTACGTTTTAACAGTACTTGATTGCTTTGTTAAAAATCGTAGTGAAATCTGGGTTGCTATTTTTATTGCAGCAAAACAACATTAATACTTGGACCAATTCAGACCAAGAAAAATTGCAGTATTCGCGAGTATTCTTACTTCTGTTTTGAATCGGTTTGAATAAGGTTTCCAGCAATACGGTTAATATTTTTCTTTTAACATTCAGACTAATAACAGATTAGACTGTATTCTAAGTACCGGGAAGACTTGATGTTGAACGTGAGTCTCCACACGACATTCAGGTTCGAAAGTCGCGTCAATAGGTAAGGTGACTTTCGAATTTTAAATTTTTCGAGCTGAATTAAGGGTTTATGGGGTTTGGGGTTTGTGGCACAAGGGGAACTCACCTTGATCTCCCAGACTCATCTTGGGTTTCTCTGTAACTAAAGAGACAGTATATGAGCTTCCAGCAGATAAACGCCAACCGATGAAGACCTCAGGCACTATGGATCGCTCAACAAAATTTGAAGTGCTTTATTGGCGTATTCGAAACCCCATCAACACAAAAAACGAACTATAAAGTTATTTGAAATTTTGGACTTGTTACATGAGCATCACGGCGGGTCACTTTCCTGCCCAAATTTTGGACTAACCCTCGGTACTAATCAATCAAAATTTAGGAAGAAAGTAACTCACAGTGACAGTGAAAAGCTCCAAAAGACCCAAATGACTCAAAATGACATTAGTGGATTTTTTCGTGTTTGGGATATGAAAGTTTGTCGGCTGCTACCGCTGCTGCCACACTGCAGTAGTGTAGTCAAAAAATGGTCGTGCCGGGTACAGGAAAATTTTCCATAGAAGAAGTCGTACAATTACAATTCAAGATTGTAAATGCACAAACACCCCACATCGACGTGAAATCAAATGACGAGCAGTGTGCCGAAAACTAAAAGGTGTGAGTATTGCACTCTTGTAGGTGTGTTGTAGACGACATTCATACACATTCGGGCACAAGTGTGTGAATTTTAAATGAAAATTCACACCTTCACTCACTCAAATGGGCATGCATGCACAAATGGGCATTCCACACGCCTTACAAATGTGCCACATTCACACGCCTGCAAGTGTGCGACATTCCGACACCTACAAGTGTGCAGCATTCACACACTCGCGTTCCCAGTTTAAGTACTTGGGATCGTTTAAAATTTGACAACGGATTGCCTTCCTGTCCTTGAATTTTGGAATATGAGTTGTGACTCACCTCTGCGAGTGGTATTACCACGTTTCACTATGAAGTCCAGTCCTGGACGGAGAGGAGCAGCACGTAACCGTAATTGATTGGGTTGTAAGCCATCAGTCTCGAACTTGATGAAGCTGTCGCCAAACTTCGCCTCGTCGAGTTGCGGAAAGCGGACGGCAAATAAGTCTCCGGTGTTGAAGGTGGTGACTCCTGAGGAAGCAAGGAAATCAATGATACTCATTGTTAAATTTAATTTCCAAAGAAAGTAACATGCCTTAGATTTAAGAAAATAGAGAATATTAAATGCTGAAGTAGTTTATCAAAATTAAATATCTTGTAAAAATAAAAGTAAGTTCTATGGTGAAAAGCGCGAGTTATTAAAGTAAAATCATCAAGAACATTTTCTGATGAAAATTTTGTGTCTTATGTGTAATAAGTAAGTGTTCAGTGTTTTAAGGTACCAGGTGTGGGTGTGGTGAATACGCAGCAGTGTTGCGGGATTGTATACTCAACATCAGATGATACACGTATGGTTTAATTTATTTACCTGCGGACACTGCAGACACGGCAAACAGGGCTAGCCCAACGGCTAGACCCAGCGACGTTCGCTGAGCGAACATGTTGATGGAGGTTCCAAAGATGACTGCAGGCTGGTTCCGCTGTTACTTTGCCACAACCGCGGTTCGACGGGGGTCGACAGGTTCCCCTTCCACCCGTGCCTCCGGCTTTGCTGTTGTACGCGACGGAAGAGAGGGGTAAGAGGGGGAGGGGTGCCCTAGGGTACCTCTACCCCGGGGCTAGCCGGGGTGTTCCCGCCGCACAGCAGCCAAACGTCCAGCTGATTACTGATTTATTTCGGGGTTGTGGCCCCGCACGCAGATGCTTCCCAAGTCGGTGTTTACCGTGCATCTTGGACCATTATCTTAGGGGCGTCGACATTTCCCCCGAAGCCGCACTCGTCTGGTTCAATAGTTTCAAAACATCATTAGATTAAACGAAAACCATCGGTTCCGTCCAACGGCATCGAGCTACAATGCAGCGTATTTCACAAACGCTGGAGGCAAAGTTAAAAAATGAAACTATGTCAAAAAGGTGCCGACAGCCGACATAGTGCATTTCTTCGATTCCGATTAATAAATTCGGAAAGTTCGGTCGCTAGAAGTCCGATAGCCGAAGGTAAAAAAAACGACAGAAGTGTTTTCTTAAAAAATGCTTAATTTTATTCAAGAGCAATGAAATGTATCCGTTCGTCTAGGTGGTTCTTCACTCAGAAAAAAAAAAGACAAAATCAAATTACCGCCGTTATTGTGGTCGGATCGTCCAAAATCTGTGGCGGAAATCTGCCGTTACGAAATAGCCAAGTTGAGCCCATGCCACCTTCAAGATCTAGCAGCTGGTATAGGCAGGAGGTAAAATGTTGCCTGTAATGCATGCCTGTATCGTTCGCCCACCGGACAGAGCGGTTCTACCGTTTCACGTTGGGGGAGGGTGGGTAAGCGCCCTCGTTTGTATCTACTGCAAAGTTTCACCTTGAACCAAACACAGCCACAGGCATCTTATAGTCCGAACCGACTATGGATCTATTTTGGACCAAAATTTACCCGTAGGCCCAAAAGCCTCTTGGGCTCCCAGAGGTTTGGCCGCCAGGCGCAGCCGCCTCCGCGCACTGTTAAAATCTTACAGTGGAAATGCGCCGTAAGCTACTGTGCTGCAGTGTTCACGCGCGGGGAGGGGTTGCTGCTTACGCCTCTGCGCAGGCGCCTGGCACGAAGGCCGTCCCGTTGGACATGCGAGTCCGGCGGGGTTGCCTATAGTCCTCTCCGCAGGCGCCTGGCGAAGGTCCGAACCTGCGGAGCCGCAATAACGTAGCTGGCGCTGGCGTTTCCTTGGGAGACGCTCACTGTGGGGACACCTTTAGCATAGTAAAGAAAGATTAGTTGAACTCCTCGGGTGCGGCTAAGGCCGGCTACGGCCGGCTACGGCCGGCTACGGCAAACCTATGATGGGCACGCATCTCAAGACGTATTGTGTCCAGCAGCCACAGTCACAAGCATATAGTTAGTTTTATCAGCGAGTAGAGAAACTCTCACTCTCAACTATCATCGTTCGGGTCGTGCGGAGCCTTACTTAGTAAACGTTCAAACAAACGAATGGGAGGGTCGTCACTGAAACCTTTTGTCGCCCTCTCGGGTCTCGAGTAGTTCAGAGATTTTTCGCACTGGAAACCCAAGTGTGTGAATGTCACACACATGCAGGCAGGTGTACGAATGGGTGTTCACACACACACCTGCAAGTGTGCGACATTCACACACTTGCGTTTCCAGTGCGGTTTCTATTCGACAACGAGTCCGTCCGTACCCCAACCATTCTTCCAATGTTTCTTCTTTCATTGAAAAAGAATTTTTTAGATTAGATTAGACGCATCCTAGGGGCCACAAGCTCAGCTTGTTAATCTCGGTATTTTTCGCCCCCGGCCGGGTACCCCGACACGTATACGGCTAGAGGAGAAAGGGT